TAAAACATATAGGTTCCACGAGATTTGAACTCGGATCGCTGGATTCAAAGTCCAGAGTGCTAACCATACACCATGGAACCGGTTAAATTCCGTGAAACGTCTTAATTTATTTTAGTTAAGCATATAACTTTCTTTAAACTCATTTCAGGCAGGTCATTAAGTGCACGAGCGCTCGAAGATTAAAACAAGTCAAGTCTAACCTGTTTTTTTAATTACTTCTGCTTTTAATATTAAATCCCACAAAATAAGTAAGTAAATGTCCATTCATTTATGATATTTTTTTGTTTGTTTTAAAAGTTATACAAACTTGATATCCTTATTATCATGTAACTTAAAAAACAAAGTACGTGTATATTTGAATGAAACCTGACATCTCACTTGTCAGTGATTTTGTATGACGTCACATTGGAAAGCGAGAAGAAATACATTCGGTAATATATTCACCCCCCCCCCAATCCCATATCAAAACCTTTAACTACAATATATTTTTGAAACGTCACTTATAATAGTATAGTTACTGACATTTACCTAATCATAAAACATGAAATATGTGGTATTCTATAACTGTACTATTATAAGGACCTGCAGGCAATTCACCGCTACGAGTATCGTATTTTTTAACTGCTAAGTTTACATTTTGTCGTATATTAACTTGATGATAGTGTAAAAAATACATTATGTACAAAAGATAATGAAACTCAGATTGTTATTCGACCCTAAAAAATCACACACTATTGACTTTTTAAAGTGATCCCGTTGTAGGGTTAGAGCATTTTTCTAAATGTATTCAAAAAAGATACATTCAGTCAAAGATACAAAAAAATGAAAAGTAGGTGTCGATTGACAGTCGACATATATAAATCTCTAAGAACTTATTGTAAAATTTGTCAGTTAAAAATATACATTTATATCTTATTATCATCCTTTAGTACAGGGGTCACCAACCTTTTTTTAACTGAGGGCTACTTCTTGGGTGTGGATTCAGTAAAGGGCTACCAATTTGATATGCGCTTCTGATATAACAAATGTACTCGGTTTACCTGTAATGTTATTAATACTAATTAGTGATATTCGCCTGCTTTAGATTATTTTAATAATAAAAATTCACAATAATCATCAATAATGACTTTAAAAGGAAGAATTTTTTTTTGCTTTATTTCTAACATTTCAAACAACTCCTTAGATTTGCCTGTTTATGACTTGAGAGTACTTCTTCAGCAACTTTGCCAAAACTCTCAGACGCAAGAACCATTGTCTTTCAGCACCATCTGCAAAGAGGGAATGCAGGACCTTTTTCCTCTGTAATGCGCAGAGAAAATGTTCGTCTGGGCTTTAAACGCATTTAAAGCACTGATCATGTCTGCAACAGTCTTTCCTTTCCCCTGCAGCGCACGGTTCAGATTGTTCAGTTTTCCAGTAATGTCTGTCAGAAATGCCAGGTCAAGTAGCCACGCAGTGTCTTCCAGCATAGAGGTGTCTTCGTCTCTAGATTTCATAATCCTTGATCTCGCTCAACAGCGACAAAAACCGAAGTAAAATCCGCCCTCTGCTGAGCCATCGGATGTCCGTGTGGAGTAGCAGGTCCCTGTATTCAGCCGACAGCTCCTCCAACAGCACTTTGAAACTTCGGTGCTGTTTGGCTTTGGAGCGGATGCTATTTATGATCCTCACAACAGGAGTCATAACGTGCTCAAAGCCGATCACCTGAAAAATGAAAATATTATTTAATAAGTATTATAATTGGGCCTTGAACAGGACAGCAACAAGGATGAAATATATGAAATACAAAATTAAAAAAACGCACCTATGCGCACAACGCCTGTTGATGAATGATACAGTGGTACTGTACGAATTTCGGGAATGCTGGATCACTTTTACAGTGCGCAATGAACCCTACATGTCGTCCGGTCATCGCAGGAGCCCCGTTTTTCGTGATTGACACCAACTTTTGCAGTGGGATATTTTTGATGTTGAAGAACTCCTTCACTGCATTGTAAATGTCAACACCCCTCGTGTGGTTTTTAGAGGGAGTAATGTGAGAAGTTTCTCCTTTGTAGAAAAATCTTTAAAGACCATGCGAACGAACATCATAAGCTGCGCCGTACTGCTGCTGTCGATGGACTCGTCGCATTGAATGCTGAACCACTTGCACTCCGCGAGATCCCGATCCAGCTGATCAGTCAAATTGTCAGACATAGTTGTCACTCTTCTGGCCATTGTGCTTGCCCCCATTTGAACATCAGACAGAGACGAGAACACTTCCTTCCCATATTTCTCATCTTGAAACAAGGTGTTGGCAACTATCATCATTGTTGATTTGAAAAGGTCTCTATCTGTAAATGCCTTCTTCCTCTTAATTAGATGTTCTGTTGCTCTGAACGAGGCCTCAGTAGCTTTTTGAGATTTTTTCGCAGGCCTTGTGAAAAAAGATTGTTGTTTACACAAGTTAGTCAGCTGTTTGTTATGACTCATCAGTCGGTCGTCCAGACTCTCCTACTCTAAGGCACTGTTCTAAACCAGCCTGAACTGTCAAACTTGTGGAGGTTTGACGTCACAAATTGACAATAACAAAGACATAACGGAAAAATATACATATATCAGTCACACAACTATACAAAACTAATAGACATGATAACTTTACTTAAGTATTACTATTTTGAGAATGCCTTTGCGGGTGACTCAAGTAGTCTACGCGGGCGCCATGGCGCCCGCGGGCGACGTGTTGGTGACCCCTGCTTTAGTATATGTATTGATATAGTGAAATCCAATATACATAGAGATAAGGTATATCAGAGAGAAGGAGTTCAGCCTGCTAGGACAGAAAGGGGAGTGGGACGTCACTAATATACTCTTATGTTATAAATTTGGATAAGATTTACTAATAAGTCATATTTGTTTTGAAAATTATGATGTCTTATTTAATGAAAGCATGTTTTATCTAAAAGGTTACCTCAACGAAACCTCGTTAAGTCATCCAAATCATGAGGCATATGTTCGTCATACTTTATGAAGGATACCATAAGAGTATATTAGTGACGTCACACTCCCCTTTCTATCCTAGCGGGCTGAACTCCTTCTCTCTGATATACCTTATCTCTATGTATCTTGGTGAATCAACAATATTACAGCCCTAAGAACATTTAATCTCGTCGACATTCTTTTATGGTATGTTTTAAATTAATGCAAGCATTATTGTAAACGATGAAATATATTTATATAAACAATAAAACATCAGGTTGCACCGAGATTTGAACTCGGATCGCTGGATTCAAAGTCCAAGTGATAAACCATTACACAATGGAAACCAGTTTTAGCAGGTGAAGCGTCTTAAGAAAATTAACTAAGAAGATTAATACACAAGTGAAGGTCAAGAAAAATATTAAAAATATATGTGCAATACACTTTTGAAATGATACATTGTTCTAAATTCATCTTTAAGCAATTTTTACGAATAAAATAAAACAAAAACTAAAGTGGATAAACTAAGAGTCTCAACTCTGGTCAATCATGCTGTAACAGTCATCTCAACTTTTCACAGTTGCGTAATAAAGATTGTTTCTGGGCATAAACTTGTAGGTTCCACCGAGATTTGAACTCGGATCGCTGGATTCAAAGTCCAGAGTGCTAACCATTACACCATGAACCGGTTAATACATTGCCATGTCTTAAGATTTTTTATTGTTATAAAGACTTCCTTTGTCGAAGGTCAAATATAAAAGTGCGCGTAAACAATGATTTCAAGGAAGTAGTATATTCAATATGATATAAATACTCACTTTAATATTTCTAACACTGTTGAAAAGTATTTCTACTGTCTTCAAATACGTTTTCTTTTTTGTTTCTATTCGATAAATTTACTAACTCGCATATTTAGGCACCTACGGCGCCCATATGTTCGCCCTTCGGGTATGGGTAGGTTTTGGAGCTAAGGCAAAGGCTTTAAAACTTTTGTCAGCAAAAAGTAACAATTTGTGTTTTTTTTACAGAAAATGTCCCCAATAATATATTTTTTTCATTTCTGGTATCATTACTTAGTAAATGGTTTTAAAACCTTTGCCTTGGCCCAAGAAGTCCAAATCTATGCTTAGATTTGAAATATCTTGATAAGACGGGGTCAAAAAATTGATCAAACACACAAACGGAGATCAAATGCTAGGTAGGTAGTAAAATCAGAAAAGGTGTATCCAATGACATATTTTTCATTTCTGGTCTCATCACGTTGCAATAGTTTATTAGGTCCTGCCTTCACCAACGATTCCATAGGTACCTTCAAAGTTCAAATCTTACCATAAATTTGGGAGGAGATAGCGTGCGAACATACAGACGGACAGAGATTGGTGAAATATTATATACATGGGTGTGCAGAAGTATCTAGACTAACTTTGAGTACTTGTATCTCAGAAACCAGTTAGGGTAGAAGCTTAAAAATGTATTAACTGGTTAGTATATCCTATGAGCTTTGTTTAATAACAAAAAGATTGAAAATGTCATTTATCCTAGGTTCGATGACTAATTTTAATGCTATAATGCTTATTTGTATTCTTTCGTATACAATTCTATCGAGCCATATAGTCAAAAAAAATATATACATATATTAAGGAAATGGAAAGTTGTGTATTGGCAATAAAACATTTTAGAGGGCGTTTGTTTACTTGTTTTTTTCTTTTAATTCATCAGATATTAGTTTATCCAGTAATTAAACATTCAAATAAGTAGCATTATAGCACCATAAAAACTTTTATATTGAATGTATTGAACTATGATAAATAAAATAACACCCAAATAATTTTAAAATTTTAACTGCCCAAATAATTTAAAATTTAAACTACCCCAATAATTTTAAATTTAAACTACCCAAATAATTTTAAATTTTAAATACCCAATAGTTTATAAAGTTGCAAGAAATACGGTAAAGTTTGTATATAATTATAAAAATCTAGAATGGCCATTATTGTTCATTTTATCATAACTATGTAAATATGTTGAAATATGTATTTATCAAAATATCGTCACGAATATCTATTATTGGAGTTGGCCAATTTGTTTAATGTTTGTTATGAAACATTTAGTTCCACTGAGATTTAAACTCGGATCGCTGGATTCAAAGTCCAGAGTGCTAACCATTACACCATGGAACCGGATAATTTATAAACTAACGTCTATTATTTTTATTTAAGATATAACTTCTTTAACTCATGTCAAGGCTGGACATTAAGTGTACGAGCGCTCGAAGATTAAAAACAAGGCCAGGTCTTACCTGTTTCTTACATGGAGATGAAGCTTGTTGGACTCAAATAATTTTGGTCGTTCGGGCTTGTTCAGAGCCTAATTAATTCCCCGACTTCGAAGTATAAATGTTGACCCGACCCGACACTCGAAGCATATTAATACTGTAATATACGCTCGAAATTTAGCTATATAAGTAAATCATTGTCATTTTCTTGTATACATTTTCTCCTAAGCATACACAAACAATCATTTGCCTCTGATTCAGTAATATTTAAATACATAGTTAGATACACCCCCAATCCATGTTCGTGTTTTGTTTTACTGCCCAATAATACTCTGAGCTCATTACGTGTTTGGGAGCTTCGAGGATAGACAATCAAAGGATCGTGACTTACTTATCTTAATGGCTTCAACATTATATGTACCTGGTTATCAAATTGAGCTGGGCGGTTACTTGGTATTCAAATCTTTGTTTTTATAAAGTTTTATGACGTCATCAAGGGAAATGTAAAAAAAAAATATTTATTACACTTAATAAACGTCTGTAGCATCTACATA